CGGCCGGTCCCATCTAACAGCTTTTTATATTATATCCTTTATGGAGTTAGGTGGATTTCTTTTTTAAAAACAAACAAAAAAGGAAAATAGCTAGTCTTTTTATTTATTGGATTGATTGGGGGTAACATTGATTAATAAAGTTATATAGGTTTCAAGTATACAATTCTATAGTACATCATCTGTATATTGCATTGTATGTTCACCCAAAGTCAAATCTCTTTCCATCACCATACATTTCACCCCCTTCACCCTTTTCTTCCTCCCCTCCACCCCACTTCCCTCTGGCAACCACTAAACTGTTGTCTGTGTCTATGAGTTTTTGTTTGTTTGTTTGTCTTGTTCATTTGTTGCTTTCAGTTTTATATCCCACATATGAGTGAAATCTTAAAAAAAGAACTCTCACCAATTTAAAAGAACAAATGAGAGTATTTTGACTTGACTGTGATCGCTAAGTATTTTGTATAAAGAAGTAGGTCTTGTATTTATAAGATTTTTTTTTAGCTTTAATATATTCAGTTAACCACCAATAATGTTTTTCCAAGGATAATATTAATAGTTTGTAAGCAGTTAATTTCATCACCCTAAATTTAGGCATTTTAAAAACCAGGATTTTTTCCCCCCAGAAATCATCATTTATCAAATTTGTCTTGAGTCTTACTGTGTTTAAAGACCATGCCGACCATATTGCCAATTTATTCTTGCTGGAATGTCTTGATATTATCTATGCCATCTATCTACATTTCAGGAAAAAAAATTAGGCATTGACTGGCCGAGGAGAAAAACATTTCCATTTTTTGAAGGGTTACATGGGGAAAAAGACCCTAAAGAATCTGAATTCTTTCGCATCAGGTAAAAAGATTTTTATTGAGCTTCTTTATTTTGCTCTCTACAATTTGAGATTTCTAGGCCTAGTTGAATGTTTTTTTTTTTTTTTTTTTNATGTAGAGAGAAAGAGGAGGAAAGGGAGAGGGGGAAAAAGAGAGAGAGAGAGAGAGAGAGAGAGAGAGAGAGAGAGAGAGAGAGAGAGAGAGAGAGATTCATAGTAAAAAGCCTTGTGCATAAAATCTGCTGGCAGGACTTGTCACTGGTTCCATTGCAAAATAATTTGGTGTCACTGATGTGCGTGTTGAATTGTAATAGCTGTTAAAATGAATTGTATTCTTCCTCCAAAATAAGGCCATGACTGTCATACAGGCTGTATCTGTTCCTTTCCTGTTTTAATTTTCAGGGCCTGTGCTATATCTGGGAATAGATTATATGGCCTCTGCAAAGACTCTCCAAAGACTCTCAGGCAGGGTTTGCCTTCATGGTAGTTGCAGGTAATTGCTCTGTAAGCCCCAAGATCCATTCTCTAAACTTGCAGTCCTTCAGTCTCTGTTTCCCTAAGGAGAATAGAATGCCTGGATAACTTGTACTCCTGGCATGGCCGCCAGCTGCTTTAGTGCCTCCTTTTATCTCTTATCCCTCTCTTGCTAAGCTTCATATTCTCAAAGCAACAGAAGAGAATGTAACTCACGGACCACCCAGCGATCGGCTTTAGAAAGGGGTGGGAAGTAATTCGGAAAATATCTTCTGTTTCCGTGAATCAGGTTAAACATAACTAGCCACGCTACACTTAGATTGAGATATAAACCCAGGCTCGGCATTCGCAGTCATTTATGGTGTTTTTCCACCATATAAAATAAAACCATGTGATACTGGGAAGTCTCAGAATTGCCAAAATAAATAAATTTCTTTCAGGCTCAGTTAGTTGTTGGCCGGATTGTTGGATCATAAATTTGTTCAAGGGACAAGCGCTTTCTTTGCCAGGAGCCATCTTATCAGCTTGCACAAGAGCAGATCAGGAAAATCTCAAGCAGGGGAGGGTTGGAGCTGATCCAAAAACTTCAAGAGCTGAAATCTGTGCCCTTCCCCCCTGCCCTTCCCCTTCTCATCAGCTTGTTATTAGACACACTTTCATCCTTGGAGCAGAACAAGAAACTGTTAATGCTATTTATTAGAGTAGCAATTCTTTTTTTCCAAAAGTATCTCTCAATAAAAGCTACAACTCTTAAGATATTCCAGGAAGCAAGACAAGAAAGAGAAATAAGTTCTAGACTTTTTGATGTTCTGGAAAATGGTTAATTGAAGCATATAAAAAGTGATTGGAGAGCCCATATAGGATAATGCTCAAAATTACACTCAGCGCTTCCCCTTGGTTTGTAATTCCAGGGCATGTGCTGTACAGAATCTCTGACAATCTTCCATCTGGGTAAAAGCTGACAGAGGATGGAGATATGTTAGATTTTAGCTTTGCTTTCTTTTTTTTTTTTTTTTTAAGATTTTATTAGAGAATTGGAGGGAACAGTGTTGGGGAATTGGGGAAGGGGAACAGATAAGCTGCTGTCCTTTTGTTCTTCAGTCTAGTTGTGGAGGACGTCACTTCACTGGTCCATGTTGTTATTGTGATCATTGCGCTCTTACCGGCTGAGCAGATTGGTTACTGGCCGTTGGATGGCTGCTCACTGTGGCTCATGGCGGCTCACGCTGTCTGCTGGCCACTCATGGTAGCTTATGGCAGCCCACTGCAGCAGGGGCTGCAGCCCACGCCATCGCTGTCGACCCACAGCAGCCCAGCTCCAGGTTGAGCTGTTGTTCACCATCTTATCTGTAGAGGCCTCAGCATCACTGGCCCATGTTGGATCCGAACTGGTGGCCCTGCTGCTCAGAGCTCACCCTCCCAAGCCAACTCTTAACAAACCACTTGGCTGGCCCATTAGCTTTGCTTTCTGAGACTGGGTCCTGTTTAACAAGCAGATGAAAATATTTTTTAGATATAACAACCAGTGTGTTGAAAACGTGAATTATCAGACTCAGGCAGGGGTTGAATCGGTGACTGTGATGAAATGTCTATGTTGATGATCTCTTTTGCCTGTAGATCTTTCCAAAGTGAAACTGATGAGATTTAATGACCCGCTGTTGGGGCCTCGGCGAGTTCCCGTCCTGGGGGAAGAGCACACTGAGAAGACCTGCATTTCTGAGCACGCGGTTTTCCACGTGGACCTCATGAGCAAGACAATTCATCTTACTGAAAATGGGCTCCAGGCAGACATTGGTGATACAATTATCTATCTGGTTCATTAAACTCGTTTACATTGGAGATTTATCCTGTTTGGGGAGATACTACTACTTTGTGACTACAGATGGGCTAAGAGAACCTTAGGCTGGGCCTAAACAGATGTCAGTTCTAACCATCAAATTCTGCGTGTAATCATAATTATACCAAGTCATCTTGGATTCCTGGATCTAATAAATTTTTTTTTTCCTTCTTGGGGCCTCTAAGAAAAATAGTTTGTACCATACTCTGTTTTTATTTGTTTCTTTTTTTTTTTTTTTTAACAAATTAATGCTTAGTTCCTGGAAGCTTCTCGTCTTTTAGATTAACACAAAGGTGTCAGTACGCTTCTTTTGTGAGGTGTACTTTATACTATTTATGAAGGCTAATGCCTTTCTAACAGCTATTTATTTATTTATTTATTTATTTATTATTATTGGGGAATTGGGGGATGGGAATAGCGCTGGGGAATTGGGGGAAGGGGAACAGACAAGTTGCTGTCGTTTTGTTCTTCAGTCTAGTTCTGGAGGACGTTGCTTCACTGGCCCAAGTTGGCACCATCATTGCGCTCTTCCCGGCTGAGGCAGATCAGTCGCTGGCTTCTGGACGGTCACTCACAGCGGCTGCTGGCCGCTCTCGCTGGCTGCTGGCTACACACG